TATATATATATATATATATGTATGTGGAACATTCGATTTTTTAAGATATACAATGTGTCTTTTTCTTTAGTTTATAAAGAATAAACGTTACAAATAAAATTTATTCAATTCGCGAATTATTATTGATTATGTTATCGTAATAAAATAAAATGAATTGCTTTGAGACGATAACTTTTCGTCCATAAAAAAAGGAAGCTTTAGAAAAATTAAATGTTATATTTTCTTCAACTATATTCTAACTAAAGGGGAAAGATCCAGCATATCTCGCGAAACGCTCGAGATAAGCTCGCGGAACAGCGATGTTTTGTGCAAAGCAATTCGAAAAACATGAGGTTAAAGGGTATAACTTGAGAAACGATGTTCTTTCACTATCGCATGGGACGTAAAAAATTCGGTGGACATTTCTCGTTAGATTATCAGGCGCGTCCTCTCAATCCCCGTGTTTTCGACATGACGCATCGGCGGCCGCGACGCGGTTGCGAGCCAAGATCTCGAGGTAGACTCGTAAAACGGGATCTTGTGTCACGCGACCTAAATCTCGTTTGTGGATCCGATCGAACAAAAGGTTAGAAAGAGGGATCTCACTCGTCCGAGAACGGGTGTAATATAAGAGATGGGTGGAAAACTTACGGAAAGAACACGTCGAGAGGGGATGCTCTTTTGTTTATCCAGGGCCAAAGCGAAAAATCCTCGTGCCGACCCGCGTTGTTCACCAGGCTACATAGCATTAAACGCACACTCGCACTGTTCACTACATGCGATAGTCGCGATCGACGTATTTTCGTGGATTTCCCGACACGCGATTCGTTGCGGCTCCGGCCAGCTCCGGCCAGGTCCGGACAGATCGGTAGATATTCGCGGAAATCACATTGATAGTCGCTCGACCGTCAGCTCGCTTCGAGGATCATAGACCAGCTGTGTTTTTGCCCGACCATCGAGCAACTCGCGCATGCGCGCTCCACGGTACTGTCATGCGCGAAAGGGAGGCGCTGTTATCGCAACGCGCGATACTCAAATGTGAAAAAATACACAGACGTCATCGTATATCATTTTTTATCTTACATATTTTTATCGACGACTAATAATTAGACAAGATAAGAAACGAATTAGGATAGTTTGCCAATTATACAAATTAAAATTAAGATAATTAATAATAACTGATAATTCTTTTTTATCATAACTTATTATAAGAAAATGCGTCAGTTTTACATAAACGAGCATAGACAGGTTGTTTTTTTCAGAATTGACTCTTTATGTTTATTTTTATCAATAATTTATTCTGTATAAAAATTTTCGTGCAATGATTATATAAAAAAGAAATTTACAAGTTTTTTTTACAAAAAAAAATCGGGCCCCTCCGGGATTTGAACCCGGGACCTCCTGCACCCAAAGCAGGAATCATACCCCTAGACCAAGAGGCCTGATGACCGATGACAATTACGAAAGATAGATCTGATACGCAAGAATTTTGTTGCAAGATTTGAATCGTATTTGAGAAAATATTACAGGTATTAAACATTATTTGAGTATCGAGATAGTCGAATGAGACAAGGATCTATTTTTACACGGATGGAAATTTATGATATAACACCTTTGCACGACAACACAATAGGTTTGTTCGTTTTACCTGCACTTTTTACACTCAGGTGCTAGTGAGTTTCTTAAGCCCGTATCAGATAACACATTAGAAATTTCGGAAAAAATTTTCTTTTCGATAGCCAATTGCGTGACACTGTGTCCACCTGTGTTTCCTTGCTGGAAACACGTGTTTTCCTTGCTTAGTGCAAATATACATAAACAAAGCACATTTAAAAAAATTATTGTATTTTCCAACGTGATACGTATCATAAATACACGATAAATAAATTGATCTAATACATCGTTTCAGAAGAGGACCAAGTGAAAATCCAAAAAGGAAAGAAGCAAAATTAATAGATTGATCAATAAGTCAAGTGATTGATATTCAGTCTAAACAATTGTTTCTTTCGAGTGTCTAGCATAATCAGACATGTATAAGATGGCTGTAAAAGAAAAACAAACGGAGTCTTTATTTGAGGAGATAGAATGGAACGTGGAGAATGAGATTCAACTTTTCTTCTCTATGAACGGACACAAACCAGTTGGTAAGATGCAAAAGCCGGTGCAGCGATTCGAGGTTATGTTTACTATTATTATGTATAAACAATTCTTTATTACAACTTAATAAATTGTTTTTAAGGTGTTAACAAATACTTTCATATGGTGTGCATATGGGAGAAATTTCGTGCTGCCATTCACAAGGATGTGTCACTGAAGATGATATGGGATCATTTGGAATCTATGTACGATCTTATGGCTTTGGTAAGCATTAGTGTATAGAGATAAAACAATTCAAATAATAACGTTTAGAGTCTATTTTTTTGTTAATTTAAATATATCGTGTTATTTTTTCAATAATTAAAATCTGAATTTATAAGAGAGTTATATCTTGTATCAAAAAGAAAGTACATTACCACTGAAAAAAATGTTCGTAATTTATTCAAAGCGATATAATATTACACATATTTTTTTCATATATATAAATTAAATCTTTTAATAGGATGATATGGAAGATTTACCTTTTCCCAGTCAAGAGATGGATTTTTCTTTACCGGAGACAGAATTTGTAGCAAAGCCTCGAAAGAAGGAAGAATTGGAGATAAAACTGAAAGATCAGAGAGATAAATATAAAGAGATTAAGAAAGAAAAGGATATTAAGGAAAGTTTAAAAAAAGACAGTGCACTGCGTGATTTTAAAGGAAGCAAAGATATGGAAAAGAAGAAGGAAGAAATGAAGAAATACGTGAAAGAAATGGACATCAAGAAAGATAAGTTTAGGGATGTGAAAGATACAAGGAAAGAACATAAATCTTCGAAAGGTCGTTCAAAAGGCAAAGACGATTCAGAAGAAAGTGGTAAATGACATTTTAATCTCAATTATTTAGTGGCCTTTTCTAATTAATGAACATCCTACAAAATGCCATTAAATTTCTTTTTTTAGCATCAAATGGAAAGAAGGAGCGTAAGGATTCCGAATCTAGTCGCGAACTTTTGAAAAGAATCCCCAAGAGGCCAACTAGGCAAAGTGTGGACAGTTCGTCCAAAGCTTCTTCTAGTCCACGTGATACACCTCCTCCAAAGCGAAGAAGGATATAACAGTTATCGTAAACGTGGAAACATTGTCACATTTATATCTCATGTTGAGTCCAAGTTGTATAATTTATCATATATGAGTATTATAATATATATTCTAACAATATGAACATGTATGTATATATATGTGTACGTATGTATGTATTTATATATATACATGAACCATTTAATTTTTATAAAAGATTTTACACATATTATGTAGCTTAAATATATTATCATATTTTCTATAAACATCTTTGTTTTTTAAATGTTTAATGCTCAAATGAAAGAAAGAGGAGAAAAGAATAATAATAAATTCACTTTTAATACGTAATATAAAAAGAAGTGGGATATTTTTGCAGTAGTTCAGAATAGAGTAAAAATTATCTGAATTATGTAGTTCTATTTTATAGTTTTCTATTTTTTTGAGATATCAAACTTGCTGCACACATACTTTCCTATAATTCCTATTGTTCCAGAATATACAATTGTTTTATGAAATACAGAAAGTAATGCGTATTTATATCTTGCTATTAAAATAAAAAATAAAATAAAATGTATAAGCGCTCATTGATTACGTGATTTACCTCTACATCTTACAAATTACAATTATGGCGAGGAAATGCAAGAACAACACTGTGAGATTTGTGGTTACCAGCCGAGATTTATTGAAAATATCGTGGAATTCTCATTGCGTTAGGAATGTTTCAAAGAGTAAAATGCGGTCTCGTCTCGCGATCGGCAGTATCTTCTCGGGAGACACGTGACAGGAATACTCATCATCGTCGACGATCGAGGATCCATGTATGAAGGATTCACGTAGAAAATCCATAGCTGGTGAAGTCCGGTGATGGCTGGCGACCGTTTTTCAATATTGATTAAAACTGCTGTCCTGCATTATCGGAGTCTTCTCGCCTCGCGTTCAGACTCGAGCAAGGTTAGGAGATCGCCTTCCCGTACCGGTCCCTTCACGTTCCTGATGATCTGCCGATTTTGCTCGCCCAGAAATTCCACTTTCACCTGGGTACACTGTCCCTGCGAACCAGTGCGACCCAGGACTTTGATTACGCGTGCCAAAACGACTGGTTTATCCATATTCGCTTGTATTTGCTTCGCACGTGGCTTATGGATAAAGTGTCTAACGCAAAAGGAAGAGATCGCACATAAATAACACGATAAAGCAGAGCGGCGTAAAATCTTCGTTGACTTCCGGTAAGTCGCTATTGTCCAATAGCAAACATGACGCGCCAACTTTGAATTGATTTTTAAAACTTTGCGTGATGAGAAAATGAAGCTCCGACTTTTCAAGCTAACGCGAAGAAATAAATAAGTGTTTTCTTGGTTACATTAAAAATGAGAGATATACATTTAGAAGTCGGAGAAAAAGAGAGAAAAAACAAAAAATGGAATTGTTAAAGTCGTATATAAAGCCCACTTTACACGATCTATAATTTGCAACAGAATTCAAGACAGAATTCTATTCATAATTTTTATGCGTTGTGTAATACAGAAAACATGTGAACAATCAGAATTATAACTATCATGCTTTATTTTTATAAATAGAAAAGACGCATGAAATATGCGCAATGTACCCATGATTGGTGAATTGTAAATGACATAAACTACAAATTAACCTACTCTCGTATCTGCTTAATAATCTAAAGAAAGAAAAGAAGAAAAAAAATATATGTGACAATGTCTTGGTCCCGGGAGCAAGTTATTTGTTTATTAACCGAATATAAGAAATATTCTTGCCTATACGTAGTAAAATCTATCAATTATTGAGAAATTGATCGAGTTACGATACAGTTATCGATTTGTAGAATAAATTAAATAAAAAAGTGTTTCAATGTTATAAATATATAAATAAAAATTAAAAATACATGGAATTGTATTACAAAATACATATACAATACATATCGCAATAACATAATTATTTCTTATATTTCTTTATTATTATTATTGCAAGACTGCATGCTATTTTAGATGGCTCTTAGGCTTTATGAATAAGTTTAAAAAGAAGTTTACTTTAATCTAAATAAGTAATTCTATTACATAGTGTTTATCTGTTAATCGAGACATTTCACAAAAACTGTGCGATACATAAAATTAAGTATAATAGAACAGTTGATAATATATATGTATTGTGTTAGAATGTCGTCCATGGAGTGATGATGATTAAAAGTTTGAGGAGGAACAGCGAAAAATACAGAGATTTAATATTATAATTTCGGAAACAATTGATCAATTAGAATTAAAAAAAGTTAAGAGTATGGACGCGCGTACCATCATTTGAATAAATTAATTACATTACTTTGAACATTATCTTTCAATTTATTTGAAAGAAATGCTAAATATGTAATCATCATTAATTGCATAGTCAGATTTACATCTTTTTATTTATATATATGTATATATGTGTGTGTTTAAGTATGTGATTCTGCAAAGATCTTATGAGGATATGTTAAAAATAAATTTCATTTAAAAATTTTTATTACTCTAAAGAATATAAAATGCGTAAGGTAATACATAATGTGTCAGAAATGTTTATAAACACAATTACAATACTGTGATAAATGCAATGTGCAGCATCATGATTTTTTTTAGCTTAATCTATCCAGAATCAACATCAAACAAACATTACTAATACGTTATGTTTTTTTTTAAATCCTTTAATTTTTGTCGAAAGTTTTTGATACAATGTATACTTTTTAAAATATTTGCGTTAAGTGACAAAATATTTATAATTACAAAGTTTATAAAATATTTATAATCTAAAAATATTTAGAGTTTATTAAATAAACCAGAAATACATATAAATATAATAAAAGTATATTATGGTAAATATAATTAAAGTATATTATGGTTTGCGATATTCAACAAGAAAATTTGAGCTAAGAGCACCATATTTATTTTTAATTTCTGCGATTGTAACGTTCGGTCTCAAACATTTTAATTCAGAAAGAATCTTTTCTAATGCATCGGCACGAGCATGTTTATTTTTGTAATTGATAGATTTTACTACGTATAGGCAAGGATATTTCTTATATTCAGTTAATAAACAAGTAACTTGCTCCCGGGACCAAGACATTGTCACATATATTTTTTTTCTTCTTTTCTTTCTTTAGATTATTAAGCAGATACGAGAGTAGGTTAACTTGTAGTTTATGTCATTTACAATTCACCAATCATGGGTACATTGCGCATATTTCATGCGTCTTTTCTATTTATAAAAATAAAGCATGATAGTTATAATTCTGATTGTTCACATGTTTTCTGTATTACACAACGCATAAAAATTATAAATAGAATTCTGTCTTGAATTCTGTTGCAAATTATAGATCGTGTAAAGTGGGCTTAAGTCATACATTGAGGCTATCGTTGATAAAATGTAAAAATACACAATTTTTTATATCTAGCGTTTCAAGTTGCGATCGAGATTGTCTTTCGCTACCTAAGATTGAAGTGTGCTGGTTAAAATATTTATGGCAAGGAGGCAAATAACATTATTTATAGATAATTTATTTCTATTTACAAAGAAGAGGCTTCTTTCATTCCAAACCATATGGCTAGTTGGTGAAAGGATATAAAACACCGTTTACATTTGTCGGATTGGAGCAAAAGCTAGATAGTTGCATATAATTTATTTTTTGGTACAACAATCATTCGTGTAAAACATGCTCTGGAATATACACATGTTTGTATATCCGAAAATCTAAACTGCTCTAACCACATTGTAATATTCCGCGTTGGAATAAATGATAATTTCCCATCACATTTTCTACAGTTCGATTCCTTGCGTTGTATTATATCTCTTGAAGATTTATTTAGTGCACACAAATTATGTAGCGTTGGTTTTACATAAGCTGATGGGATAAAAAAGTGACTTACATAAATATGTGGCAGAAATTCATAAGGAAACGTCTTTTGTATAAATTTTATTGAAATATTATCTTGCTGGTTATTTGGCGCCTCAAAATACATCTCCATTCTCACCTTTTAAGTTACATATTCGTGCGGATATAAAAGTTTGTAAGCGTGTTCTGACGCTTATTTTTAGACCGGATCAAAGTTATAATATTTTTGAATCCGTACAGTTACATGAAACAGTCGATCATGATAACAAAATGTTATCAATTCTTGTATTCAAATGTATTCAATTTTCTACTAACAATATGTTCTATTATTGATAATGTTTTTTGAATAAAAACACATTCATTTCACACATTAAGACTTTGCACCGCAATATCTCTATTTATAGTGCAGATATATTAAGTATAAGGCAAATTATATAAGTAGTATGACTGATTGTCCGGATTGACACGAGTAATATTTCGTAATCTGTATTCCGACAAGCGGTTATATCTAAAAGCTTTTGCATAATGTTAGGCGACAGCGAAAGCAACAGTCTGTCAGCTATCGCGTAAGGCGTAAGGAAGAATACGTCGTTCGTGCCTTCGCTCAAGTATTATTTTGTCTCTCGCGTGCGGTGGGTTAGTAAAGCGTGTAAAGCGTGTTTGCAAGATTTGCACAAAAATAAATTCAGTACAAAAAAAAGAAAGTGAACATTGTATTTAAATCATACGTTAATAAGACGCTCCAGAACTCCTTATCCGTTTTTCGACCGGCCAACAAAAAAAAATGTATGTAAGTTAATATACCAAAGCGAAGACTTTAGACAGCAAGAATAAAAATAATCTTTAATTTATTATATGATAGAGATTCAAACTATTGATTAAACCTGTTAGGAATTTGGTCAGTTCAAATATTACTAATAATGAGATCTGATAATCTAATAAGATACTCTGAATTAGACGAGCTGCGTACAGATAATTTTATACATGTGATCTTGCACAAGATACGACCGTATATCTTGATAAATTATTGAAGCCTATTTTTTATTTCAAATTCAACTAACCATATTTCTTGATAAATTATTGTAAAGTCTGTTGTCTATTTTAATTATCCAATTATAAAAAGCATAAAGTAGAAAATAAATCATTCTTTCTCAATAGATGAAATTCTGAATTGTGCAAAAAAAGTCATAAATCAACAGATCAACGAATACCGTGACGTGATTCGATCAATATGAGTTACTTGATCTACTGCACATCGGCGCTAATAATATCCCTCAGTCTCTTCTATGTATATGCCAAATACAAGCTATCTTACTGGAGCAGACGTGGTGTTAAAACTCCTCCGACACATCTGCTCTTTGGCAATTTCAAGGAGTGCCTCATCTTGAAAAAACCGCCAGGTGAAGTAATACGCGAAATCTATAACAGTGCTGATCCGGACGATCCTTACATCGGTTTTTACATCTTTCACAAGCCTATGCTGCTCTTGCGAGATCACGACCTAATCAAACAGGTGATGATTACTGATTTTGAAATCTTTCCAAATCGACGCTTTGGTTCAAGAAACCAGAGGGATTTGATTGGCCTCGACAGTATTCTGTCTATCAAGCAGCCTAGATGGAGATATCTAAGAAGCAAATTGACCCCTTTTTTGACCGGGCAAAAGCTGAAAAATATGTTACCACTGATAGAGGAATGTGGAGAACCTATGTTGAGATTCATCGAGAACTTATCGACAAACAAGTCTAGCCAGAATAATTGCGAGATGAAGGATTTCAGTAGTCGTTACGTGAGCGATGTTATTGCCTCTATAGCATTTGGTATCAGGACGAATTCATTTGACGAAAAGATGAACGCTTTCTGGAAAAATGGTGAGATGTGACGCTATTTATATCTGTTGCGGCGAAGCTAATTAAAGATTGGAAACAATTAACAAATTTTTGTTAGAAGTTATTGTTTGCTTTTTCAATGAAAAAGTCAATTATTTTATTATCGTAATAAAAGGACATAGATAGCATCCAAATATCATACAAGCGCAAAGGATATGTAAAAGATATTGAAAAAAATTCAGAAATTTTTTAAGCATTTTAGAATTTTGCGTTTCCTTTTATTCTTAAAAAAGATTAAATTCATCTGAATTCTTCAAGCTCGATCTAATAATTTATACGCATTTATGTAAGATTAACGTAGTTTAATTATTTCATCGAAATTAATTATTAATATGATAGAGAGCTTCTTTATAATCTATGCAATGTAAAAAATTGTGACATCTAAAAATATGTTATATTGTTTATAAATTATGCACTTGTTTATTGTATATGTAAGATTATATAAATTACACTATACACATCAATGCACGCGTTACACATTCAGGTATAAAAATCTTCCAAGGCATTAAGCGTGCCATAACATTTATTATCATCTTCTTCATTCCCAAATGGTGTCCTCTAACTGAACCATTTATTAAGGAACCCGCGAAATATTTTCGCGATATTTTCTGGGATTCTATCAATACCAGAGAAAAAATGGGATATAAGAGAGGAGATTTGATAGATTCTATGTTGACGCTCAAGAATGGAAAACAGAATCCCATTTACAGTAAGGATCATTTTTTTTATAAGATAATTTGAACATTAACAATTAACATGGAACATATCTAATATACAATACAATAATATTAATACTATAAAATTCAATACCATTCTCTATATATGTATTAAAAGAAAAATAAAGGGAAGAGAGAGAGAGAGACAATAGATTTTTTTAAAATTATTATTATAATTCAGTGATATCTCTTACAGAGTTTGAAGGCGACAATTTAGTGGCGCAGCTGTCCAGTTTTTACATTGCTGGATTCGAAGCACTTTCAAATGTAACCGCATTCGCTCTGTATCATTTAGCGTGTCATCCAGAACATCAAGCCACTTTATATAACGAGATACAAATACATGTGTCAGAAAAAAAATTGAGTGTGGATTTAATTAATGAAATATCTTTTTTGGATTCCGTCATAAATGAATCGCTGAGATTGCATCCTCCTCTACCCGTGGTTGATAGAATAGCTATAAGAGATTACAAGGTGACAAACACAATTTTATAAATAACTAAACAAATCATTGGTGTGTGCGTGTATAAGTATGTGTGTGTGTTATATGTTTCTTAATTATTACATGTATTTTCACTTTCATAGCTTCCAGGCACTGAGTTAACAATCGAGAAGGGTGTTTCGGTATATGTCTCTATAAATGCAACGTGTCAAGATCCTAAGTACTTTCTTAATCCGCACGATTTCATTCCATCGAGAACAGAGATAGAGGACAAAAAGTTTTATGAATCTTTGGTATTCGGCATCGGACCCCGATCGTGTATAGGTCAGTTGCAAAAAATTATTAGATTAAGAAATATTGAAGATATATATCGTAATCTTCATCTTTTATATTTTATACATTTTCAGGACAGAGATTGGCTCTGTTAATTATAAAAGTGGCGTTAATCACAATTCTTTCGAATTACACTCTCCACTATGAAACGGATAAAAAAATTAACTTACATGGTAATGATGCCATTCACGTATTCACGTATGCAGCTGACGGTCTCTATGTACAATTTAAAAAACGTTACAATGCGCGTGAATAGACGGCGCGTCCGAATGCGCTTTTAATCAAACATTTTACTATTATTTGACATGATAAATTGAAATACCATTAAATATATAATTTTTGTAATATTCATAGTTAAGTTAAAAACGTTTTAAAAGGCTATAAAATATTGACTGCAAAAAATTAATTAAACAATAATAAAACTATAAAATTTATTGCGCGTTAAATAAAATTAACTTTCACATAACTTGTATAACACATATATTCATCACTGAACTGAATGATTATTTTCTCAAATACTACGGCGTATGAATCTCCATTGCAAATTATGATCAGCATAGTTTGTATCGTAATTGAACAACATTATATGTACAATCAAACATTGTATAAAATAACAAAAGTGTTTCGGCAGCAGCCGCGCTTGACATGTTTGCTTTCTCTCTTTCTCTTTCTTATATATGTATATATATATATATATATATTCACACTACTAAAATATATATGTATATTACCCGCAGGAATAACAATTTTTTCAGATTTATTACTCAATTTAAAAGAGATAACATTTTTTTCAATAATTTTTTTTAAATATTTTGAAAGGGCTATCTCTGAATCTCGGAAATATCTGGAAAGGACTATTTTACTTCTCGATTATGAAATATATAAGTCGCGGTTGGGCCATCCTCTTTTTATATTTGCGAAGAATATTACCCCCCTCCCCCGCTGAATAATATTTATCGAAATAATGTTAATTTATTCCGTTTTTTTAAATCATAGTTTTGCTTATAATGTAGAAGAAAGAAAAATAGATATAATAGATAGGTATGAATATGCTTATTCACACAAGTGCCTCATATCATTATACTTTATTTGACTCTTATTATACAAAATATTACATATATTACAGAGAATTATATTGCAGAGAAGATACAGAAAATAATATAAAAAATTACTATAGAGAAGATTGTATTTATAAATGTAAATATACAAAATATGAATATATCTCTTTAAATAGCATAACATCTTAAATTTGATATTACTAATTTATTGTCTTTTTGTATGTATGAATAAAGAGAGTATGATTTCTAGTATATTCAGGTAACTTTATACTCGGAAATATCTGGAAAGGACTATTTTACTTCTCGATTATGAAATATATAAGTCGCGGTTGGGCCATCCTCTTTTTATATTTGCGAAGAATATTACCCCTCTCCCCCGCTGAATAATATTTATTGAAATAATGTTTTAATAATGTTAATTTATTCCGTTTTTTTAAATCATAGTTTTGCTTATAATGTAGATGTAGGAGAAAGAAAAATAGATATAATAGATAGGTATGAATAGGTATTCACACAAGTGCCTCATATCATTATACTTTATTTGACTCTTATTATACAAAATATTACATATATTACAAAGAATTATATTGCAGAGAAGATACAGAAAATAATATAAAAAATTACTATAGAGAAGATTGTATTTATAAATGTAAATATACAAAATATGAATATATCTCTTTAAATAGCATAACATCTTAAATTTGATATTACTAATTTATTGTCTTTTTGTATGTATGAATAAAGAGAGTATGATTTCTAGTATATTCAGGTAACTTTATACTTTATATAAAAAATCCGTCGTATATATGATAATTTTAATAATAAAGCACTTATTATTCACGCGTTCACTATTTATTCTTTCCTAAAATATATTTAAAGATACTAGATTTATATCGTGATTCCGCATTTGCACAATTTTATATATGCAAAACACTACGATAAAATAACATTAAATTAAATTGTATTATAGTGCAAATAATACACATTAATATTCTCACGCGCGAAAGAAATCTCTTTAAATATATTCTTGTGCATGTGTCTTATATGCGTATGGTGTGTTTGTGTGTATCATTACATATATTGTACAATTAAATATATCGTCATTTCGCAAAATCAACAGTTTTATACTGTTAATATTTAATATAAGAGATTGGTTTTTAAACAGATTTGCGATCATTGAATGTGTATGTCATGGTAAAATTTACAGTTATACATTACAACATAACTTAAAGTTTTGTTTCATGTTTCACTCGTGTTCTAAGCAATTGACTCGGTCGAAAGACGCTATGAGAATTACTTGAATAACAATTGTTGGACGTAACGTTAGACGTGTCGCACTCCAGACTAGGATCAGCAACGTCATTATTCTCATTATTTTCATACATGTGACACCTTTGTAAGATTTTGTTGTGATTACAAACATGATTGGCCTTTGTTTGAATTTGCGCCTCCGAATCTGTCTCATCTTCGTTATCAGCACTATCTACATCACCTGGAAGCATCATTATTAGTGTTAATAAAATTAATGTGTAATCCACAATTAATTAATCTAAATTGTAAATACTTAATATTTCTATCTGATGTTATATATAGCAATATAACTGTACAATAAACAAAAAGTATATTTACCGTCAGAACTATTAGTAGACGGTAAATAAAACCGCGAAGGAGGCAATTTATTATTTCCCGGACGACTCTCTCGTTCTTTCGCGACACTGTTAGGATGATTATGTTTAAATTCGCGAGGAAGTGTGTAGCTTCTAGGTAATGAGATTTGGCTACCCTCCATATCGCTAATTTCCGCCTCTCCTTCACCCTCGCACTTGGAACTTTCTTCAGCACCGTTTTGATTTGCATGTAATCTTACGAAATGAATTAATTAATCAATACATCGATACATTCAAATGTGTACGTTCAACGCATTTGATAGATTTTTCATTACCTGTGACTAAGATGTCCAGATGGAGACCAATAAAAATAGTGGTGCGGAAGACATCGCGGCGCTAGTAATATCTCTGATCTCTGGTGTGTCTGCTCGCTCTCGTTGAGACATTGCTCTCCACGAATTCGAGGAATGCGGATTAGGATAATACGAGGAAGAAGGTGGTGGGGATAACAGGCAGTGCATTTTCACGGGTGGCCAAGATGACAATGTACCATTTTGCTCGGAAAATGATGGTGGAGACGTGAATAATGGAGAGCTCGGGGAGGTATGCAGTTTCGTGTTCGGCGGTGGTTGCTGATTAGACGCGGAAGGGGAGGATGAGAAGGAGGACGTAGAAGCGGACGGAGGTGGAAACAATTTACCTTCTTTGATTTCCTCTTGTATGGCTCGCAATTCTCGTAGCTGCTGTTGCTTTTTCTCCTTCAACTTTTCCCGTATTAACGTGACATTTAACGAACCACCGAGTGCCATATCAGTCTTATCTTTGCGTTCATTGGAACCATCGTTCTGTATCGAGAGATCAATTGCATTGTAACAGTCATATTGTAATAAATACGATTAGCGAATCGAATTAAGTATAAGTATCTATCTGTGTACCTGTATGACGTTAGAGCACATAGGTTTTCTCCAGAATGGAATTAATTGTCGCGATCCATTACCCACGTTGAGCCACTGTTTCGAATCTGTCACCGTCGTCATGGAATTCATTACCGTGCCTGTTTGCGATTGCGGCGGCGGTGGCGGTACAAAAGTGGTCGGTTTCTTCTTCTTACGATTCGGATTCACAGCCGTTGGGTTCGCGAAGCGGCAATTGAAGACGCCTGGTATGCCGCCATTGATTAATTTTACTTTTCTCATGCTGATACTGATGTTCACTTTCTTCTCCTCATTATAATCTATTTGCTTCTCTTCCACATTGTTTTTAGATTATTGATTGAAATAATCTTTGGATTTTTATTTCATGATTTGAACTTTTTTTGTAATTGTTTATATATAAATCAATTAAAATATCTCAGTATTGTTAACATTAATGCATATAATTGATGGATTTTTCTAATAATTCATAAATATTAGTAGTAATTAATTATTAAGAGAGAATTATTTCAATTATTGTCACAATAATAGTATTCTGTGCTTTATTCCACTAAAATATATGTATGATATCATATTTATATTTTCTTGCATTTATTCACCAATAATACAGAATAAATGTGGACACATATTGCACATGTGTCGATTATAGTACCTTAAAAATACATTGAAGATCTAGGTCTTTTTACATCTCTCATAAAACTTGTGTATGCATGTATATATATCTTCTATTTGAATCAGAGCTTGAGACTGATATAATTTTAACAAATTAAATTTTCGATGCTATCCGATACAAGAATACATAATTTACATCCTCTGCTTCGCAGCGTTTTCATTTTTGTGAGTAAACTCACAAACACATTTTCGCATAGCATGAATAGCAACGAAATCCGAGCTAAAATTATATCATTTTCCATCACCGATTTAAATTAATACTTTGTAGTTCGATGAAAATGGACCCTGGCATGTATTTTAATCAATTACAAAAAGCTCTTATTTTAACAGCATAATTTGTACCACATGGTACATATTTAGTGTCGCTAACTAAATAACTCCTCTTACAATCAGTCAAAGATTTGTTTTATTCCAATCTTTTTTCACCAACAATAACATTAAAAGCTAGCACAGGCTTACGAAGAAAAATATTTATCAACTCAAAGCACTATACACATTCACGAATTATGAAACGGTATTCGAGTAGTTTTCTTTTTGTGTTCCCATTTCTGTGTTTCCATCGGTTCTATTACTATCTGAAGCAACATCCGATGAAAAGACATGGAAATATTATTACGATGAATAGACTGTCGACATTAGTATACAACATTGAATGAGATAACAAAGATTCACAATATTTGCAATATCTTTTACTGCCACAAGTTGGTGGAAAGAGTCTGCCCGGGTAACGTGGCAGCATTGGCAGGTTTGCCTGTCGTAGAGGAAAAATTCATATCACCCAGAGACACTTGTGACATTTGTTGTGGCAACTGAAATATAACAGATATAAAAAAATGTTACTGACAAATTTGATTTATAATACAAATAATAACATTACAATATAATAAACATAGACAAAAACTCATAACTCTATTTATATATTTATATTTAGTATATACATACATCACAAAGAATATTTCAAAATACATTTGTTGAAATTTACATACTTGAGCAGTGAATGCAGCAGTTTGTTGTTGCTGTGCTGTTAAGTTGAAGAAAGGATTGCTACCAGGAGCTGGCTGAAGATTCTGCGTCAACATACCGCTCCACCCATTATTACTAGTAATACTAGTTTGTCCTAACTGCATCATCTACAAAATCAGAGAAAATTGAAAATTTTTATGTAAAAAAAAAAGAGGAACTACAATGATAATTATTAATAACATATAAACATGGGAAAAATTTCATTTACCATTTGAGGTGGCATTGTGATAGCAGCATTTGGTACACCATTTAGTTGATTTATTTGCCCTATATGTAAGCCTAAAGGATTGGCTGCTACACCACCTATCGAACTAGGGTTTGTTATAATTTGATTTTGATTGACAAGTATCTGATTTGTAACCGGCATTTGCGTAGGAAGTTGGCCGATTTGACCCAAAGAGCTTTGTTGTCCAAATGTACCCACATTTGACATTTGCTGTTTGTATGGTATAGAATGTTGAGAATACACTGCACCTGAAATACATGTAAATAAAAACACAATGTGTATATAATTTTTAATATATCAATTTCCAAATCAGTAGTATTTCCATCACATGTGCATTACCTGGAACACCATAAATTGCTGATTGATGACTCGGTGTACCGTATAATGCTAAAATACTGTCCTTTGTCATTTTGCTTTTTTCTTGAGATAGCGGCGTGGTTTGTTCAAAGAAACTTTCTTCTTCACTTTTAGTTATAGTAGAGGCTGTGTTACTTCCATTAGAAATGTCATTTCCACTTGTGGCAGTAGAAGCAGGTGGTGCAGATAAAAAGGAAGAAAATACGTCGTCTCCAGAACCATTTGCATTTATTTGGTTAGTTGCTGGTGCATCTGTTATAACATTAATGTAAACAAGATGTTTATATTCCACAGATTATATCTAAAGATATAAGAGATGAAAAACATACCAAGACCTAAGAGATCCAAAATTGCAGAGCTTTCTTTTGTTCTACCGAGTTTAGGACTGATAGAACTGCGAGGTTTTGGCAATTGAGGCACTACTTCTGGTTTTTTTACAAGTGGGAGTGCAGTGCTCGCAGTTTCAGAACTCTCCTTTTTTCGTCTACGTTGTCTCTCAGCCTCTTCATTGAGTTCTTTGTCCCAATTTACCTATGGTAATAATATTTCTTATTTAAACTCACAATACATTATGGTCGTAATCTTGCAGATATAAAATTAATATTAATATTAATTAATATTGCACACAAATATTTTTCCATGAGTATAGTCTTTTGTAAGCAAGAGATAATATAATTTATCAGCAGCAAATAACTAATGTCCACAGTTCACAAAACAAAACATTACAAAGTTTCTTTATATACATAATATTTATATTTTAACCAATATTATTTTGAAAAGCAAATATTGAAGTATTATATTAAATAAAAGTCATACTTTTGGTAAAGGAGGTGGCACCCATTCTCTGGCTATATACTTTTTGTGTTCATATTTTGCCCGAATAAAACTTTCAAGGCTACAATCTGTTTGCGGTCTTCGAAAACTATCTGGAAGATTTGCCTCATAGACTGCTCTAGCTCGAGAATTGCCCATTTGCTGTAAGCTCTAGAAATTTAAAGAAAGTTATATATATTCTTATTCTAATAAATTAAATGTAATGCCTTAAATGAGAGATTAATGCATTGATATATATATAATATAAAGTTTACACAAAGATTGGCAAATAAAAACAGAATAAAACTTAATAGCTTCAATATAAATAATGAAATATTTTTCTCACTTATTTGTTTGTAGAATACATACACATATTATCTATTTAAGAAAATATTAAAAACTTAAAGTATATAGAAAAATAATAATTATTATCTTATATATGTATATATATAATATTATGGAAAATATTATAAAGACAAAAACTTAAATTCTTAAAATTTAAATGTTATTAAAAATTACATACAACTACTTGTTCTGGTGTCCATGTGTCTAAATTAACAGACTTGACTTTGCTTATATGCACACCAAGATTTCTGTGTATACCAGCACATCGAATACACAGAAAAATTCCCAAGTTCCAGCTAGCCCATCTTGGTCCTGTAAAATATATATTCATCCAGGATATCATAAATATGTTATCTCTCATCCGGGAGAATATGGAATCCATTTAAAGACTTTGAATGAAAGAATTTTAAGGAAAAGAAATAAAAATAACTATCAATAAAAGTATTTTATCAACCAATTGATCTATTTATATGTGTGTAACAAGAAACATATACATACATCCGCGATTATTAATTATGAGCTTTCAATGTATGATAATGTATGATGTCAGATTGTACATAAAAACAGCTGTATATTTTTTTTATCAAAATTTAATTATCTATCACGAGACAATGAGAGGATAGAGGGAGGTGAAAGAGGGAGAAGAGGGGAGGAGGGAAGAGAGAAATGCATGTGTCCGCCAATTTTTGAGCCAAAATTCGAATGCTCTGTAACTATGAGTAAAATTGGCAAAAAAATTTTGACGAAGTTACGCGTTAAAGACAGTTAACTGACAGCGTGTCAGAACGGAAATTAAAAATCCATAACGCCTCGGCATTTTATGGAGCTACGTCATGTCATGATCGATGTTGATACATACAAATATTGATTTTAAGAGAGAGATTCAAACGCGATAAAAAAAAATTATATATGCAATATAAAGAATATTCTCTGAAAAACGTCGGAGCGCTGAGAAAGTATAAGAGAGAGAGAGAGAGAGAGAAAAAAGAAAGTGTATAGAAATAATAATACTCTCTCCCCCGCGTTGTCAGACAAACCTTTCGCGTCACAGTCAACGCAATACTTGTTATCTTCATCGCGGAGCATCTGCGTCAGCAGGTTTTGACATTTCTCCTGGATCTGCTTGGCACGCTCCTTTTCGTGACGGGACGTCATTTTCGTTGAGAGCGTCTTCGTGAAATCACAGACACGGACCACGCGCGATCGCGACTCAGCAGTGTCGCCTCCCCGCGATAACGCTGGACAGACGCGCGGCGCGACAATACCACGTAACGAATTCCGTAGCGTAAGGATTCCATTAGCTTCGGTGGCCGTGCCGTGCGGTCACCGAAGAGATAATGCACATTGGAGACGCGCAGCCGTAGGTAAATTTCGTGTCGTTATCAAATGGACAATAAGTCGCGCAGTGAAGTTGACGCATTACCGATTGATCCACGAGGCGCCGTGCTAAATATAAATATTTGAACGAGATTCTATAAAAAAGTCGCGTTTAAAATTAATGTAAAAAATGCATTTACAAAATAATCTTACAGCATCATGAATAGCGAGCAGCGGTTTTGATATCTTATAATATTTATTTTATAATTTTATTTTTATTTAAAAATTTTATGAAATAATCCTATATACAATTAATTGTTAATGTCTAAATAAATATCTATATTTAAAATTCTACAAAATCACAGACATATAAATGCCATTTCAATAATAAAATTACATATTATGTAAAAATTATAAAAATATTAAAAAATATCTTTTATAATGAATATTCTTCAATTACAATAAAAGTAGAATAACAGAAAATTGACTATACATAGTACATTATATTTTATGTGCATACATTTTGCTGATATGATGAATGTTATTATATGTAAAATTTTTAGCTATATTGTGTGGTTTGCTTATTATAAATACAACATATAATAAATATATATAAATGTAATGTGTGGCGATCGTGGCGCAGAGCGTTGTACATCCGCTCTATACGCCCGCGGGCTCGGGTTCAAAACCAACTAGAATTTATATATATATTAAAATATATATTTAAA